ATGCGACCATCGCTGAAATAATGATTAATGATAGACTCAGAAATACATTCTTAGAATACTGTGAGACAGTAATGCGCAGCGCAGCGAGGGCCAACGGCTCCATAGCTTAAATAATTATATATATTTATAACAAGTATGTATGTATTGTAATTATGTAATTATAGCTTTCGCCCGCAACTCCGGCCACATCAAATCTATAAAGAAAGAAAAAGGGTGAGTGGCCTATGTGTTCTTTCGGACTATCCATTATGTTTATGTCAGATTTCATCGAGATCGACTCAGCAGTTTGGGCTACAGACTGTAACAGGTATCCGCCCATCTAAATCTCCGCATTTATTTTGTTAATTTTGTATTATATATTATATTCTATTTTATATTACATTATTGTTAATGTGACAAGAATTATAATTAAAATTTGAATTTAACAACTTATCATAATAAGTAGTTAAACATTTTGAACAAACAAACTACAACTCATAGATTGCTTAAGAACAACCTAACGGTAACAAGGTTGCTGCATTACCTACAGCAGCAAGTACCCGAAGGGCCCCTCCTCGGGTGTACAAAAAAAACATTAAGAGTACAACGATGACAATAATAATAACGAAATCCAATTCGATTACGTACGGCTGTAGAAGTAATATACATTTATTTACTGTCATTATTATTTTGAGAAAACAGTGTTTTTTTCATTTCATTAGTTATAAAACTATCGATTCCAACTTCTATAAGAATAATAATCGAAAATCGATAAGATTCATGACTGATTTTACACAACCCATCCCTACTAAATTTGAAGTGAATTGTCAAACTAATGTAAATTATTTAGACAAACTATAATGGTAAATGAATTGTTAAAAAGCCCAGTAGTGTTTACGTGAATCGAATACATACAAAAATACAAATCTTTCGTCTTACAATACAAGTACAGATAACCAATGTTGAAGTTTCTACACTAATATTTTGGACGAGAAATATTTTTATATGGCAAACTCAAAAACTACTTGGGAGATAATAAAATTTCTTTCACCACTTTACTGGAAAAAAATAGTTTTTTTATCTAAATTAAAAATCTCTTCTTAGTAGTCTATACTTGTAGAGGGAAGATTTTTATTTTTGATTTTTTGTATCTATGGAGATAACTCAAAAACTACTGGGTCTATTACAAAAATTCTTTCACCATTCAAAAGCTACGTTATCAGTGAGTTCAGAGGTATGGAAAGGAAGTCACGTTAAAGGTTAGTCAATATTTATTTACTTAAAAAACAGCACATGCTGGTCTTTCGTGGTGAAAATAGCACTTAAGACTTCATATCGATGGGTGAAACGCTATTTGTTTTAAGCGCCATTAGGTTAAATGTTTTCATTTTTAGAAAAAAAAGACATAAAAGCGAATCCTGAAAATAATGTCAATTGAAAGATTTTCAGACCGGTTCTAGTTTAAAATTACTATAATTCTGTATTCTTCATTATTTATTAACGACGCAGAAGAATTCGATGATTCTGAATAAGTCAATATCGCTTTAAATGGCGGTTGAAAAAGCCTTTCACACGTCGATATAAATAAATAAAAGTCATATTTTTGTAATAAAATGGATTTATTTAGTAGTTTACGCGAGATCTGGAGCCCACAGTTTGAATGTCCGGTCGTAGGAGCAGGTCGCGACATATTTGTTGTCTAGAGAGATGTCCACACTCATCACCTGCGGAAATAATTACATCATCATCATCACCAGCTCACTATCAGTACTGAGGGAGACCTACAGACTAGTCACTTAGGGTCCCCCTTAGTTGTGATGATGATTAGTATAATGGGGGTGCGTGTTTGTTAGGTTTGTCTTTTGTTGAAGAAGCATGTTAGTATATTGGTGGTGTATGTTCATATATTACTAGTTTGTTTTTGTATGTTGGGGGTGCATCTTAATATATTGAAGGTGCTTATAAGTGAGTTATAAGTTCGTGTTCATACATTGGGGGTGCGTGTTCATGTTACAAGTTCGTCTTTGTGCTTTAGGGGTGCGTGTTCAAATAAGTAGTTCGTCTTTGAGGGTGCGTGTTCAAATAAGTAGTTCGTCTTTGGGGGTGCGTGTTCATGTTACAAGTTCGTCTTTGTGCTTTGGGGGTGCGTGTTCAAATAAGTAGTTCGTCTTTGGGGGTGCATGTTCAAATAAGTAGTTCGTCTTTGGGGGTTCGTGTTCATATACGTAGTTCGTCTTTGGGGGTGCGTGTTCAAATAAGTAGTTCGTCTTTGGGGGTGCATGTTCAAATAAGTAGTTCGTCTTTGGGGGTGCGTGTTCATATACGTAGTTCGTCTTTGGGGGTGCGTGTTCAAATAAGTAGTTCGTCTTTGGGGGTGCGTGTTCAAATAAGTAGTTTTTCTTTAGGGGTGCGTGTTCATATACTTAGTTCGTGATTGGGGGTGCGTGTTAGGGGCGTACCTTGTTATCGTGTCCGGAGAGGGTGCGCAGGGGGTGCCAGGCGGGGTCGGACCACAGCTTGCCGCTGCCGTCATACGACCCTGTCGCCAGATAGTGGCCGTGGCTGCGTTGGTACCGAATATCTGGGTTTTTTTTAAAGAACATACATATATATTTAAGTATTATATCTTACTAATATCATAAATAATAAATATTTTAACTGTTATCCTAGCCTAAACTATTGAAAAAATCTCGATTTTTGTCATAAATGTAGAGCATAGTTTAAATATGGCTACTTACTTTTTTTAATTCTACGCGACCGGAGTCGCGGGTGAAAGTTAGTCTATACTACTATAAAGAGGACAGATTTTTATGTATGCTTAGGAATAACTCAAAAACTACTGGGCCGATTCCAAAAATTCTTTCACCAATAAAAAGCTACATTTTCACTTAGTAACATAGGCTATATTTTTATCTTATTTATCTTGTTATAAGCTAGTATAGCTTAAGTTTCTAATATAATTACAATTATCAATATTGTAAATTCAACTGACCGCTTAACAGATGTGTGTGCGCAGGAATTGTGTAAATCGGTGCTCGTTTTCTTATGTCCCAGATTTTTGCCTGAAAAAAATACGTAAAATCATTATTATCTATAATAAAACGTAAACACACTATTTTTTTATGTACGGTGTAAATTACAGTATAATTTTGAATAATTATATAAATAAAAGCCTTTACACACTTTAGGTTATATATTTTCACGCTAATAATCTTAGGGGGTAAATGTGTGGGTGTTGTGTGTGGTGGGGGTTGCGTGTGGTTTGGGTGTTGTGTGTGGTGGGGGTTGCGTGGTGGGGGTTGCGTGGTGGGGATTGCGTGGTGGGGGTTGCGTGTGGTGGGGGTTGCGTGTGGTGTCGGTGTTGCGTGTGGTGAGTGTTGTGTGTGGTGGGGGTTGCGTGTAGTGAGTGTTGTATGTGGTGTGAGTGTTGAGTGTGGTGTGGGGTTTGTGTGTGGTGTACCTGGTGGTCGGCGGCGGCGGTGGCGAGGCGGTGTCCGGCGGGGTGCCAGGCGGCGCCCAGCACGGGGCCGAGATGCCCCTCCAGGAACATGACGCAGCGCCCCGTGCGCACATCCCACACACGACCGAACGCGTCCATACCACTAAATAACAAATATAATAAAAGAAGAATCTTAATCTCAAGAAGATCTCACAAAAGTTGGATTAAGGAGTCTTAAAAAGGCAGTTATTTTAGAAGTGTGGTTTCTATTGGCATTGTGAGGAGGTTCCTATCTCTGACCACTGGTTGCTTGAGTCATCGTATTCCGCAACCGGTGGTGTTACCTGAACTCTAATATTATGCAAAGGAAAGATTGGCATTTTTTTAGATTTTTGTATGTATTCACGTAAAAACTACTGGGGGAATTTCAAAAGTTCTTTCACCGTTAGAATGGTGGTATATCTGTGAGTGACATAGGCTATATTTTTAAATTTCGCGCAGACAAAGTCGCAAGCAACAGCTAGTTATTAATATAAATGACAAAGTTTAGATGGAAGTTTGTTAGTTTGTAGCCTAAACTGCTGAAGTGATCCCGATAGTTTAAAAATATATGAATTCTTACCCAGTAGCAGCCAATGAGCCATCTCCTTGAAAAGCGATACTATAAACTTGTTTAGCGTGACCTTCTTGATGGAGCACCTCCGTTGCTGTGTGAAAAACAAAAATTTATTTAACAATATTGAATATAGATGGCGTTGTAAACAATTATGTTCGCCTTCAATAGATGGCGCTAAAATAAAACGGCTTTGTAAATTATGAAACGCGATTACAAAACAAACTTTTAAATATTTCAATTTGAATACAATGAAAATCCGAAATTTCCATATGATCACTATATATAAAAATTAAAAATCTTCATTTTATTTTAAACTAGATACAAAAACAGTATCGGTAAACTACAGGAGTCAAAAACCTAGGTCTAAGGGGCAGCTATTATGATAATTTTATTTAAAAGTGGTTTTTGCATGCATTAAAATAACTCAAAAACTACTGGGTCTAAAAAAGCTGTTACCACTGTGTAATATACGCTATTTTTGACTATTTTTTAAGTCACGAGGGGCAGCGCTTTATATCACACTCTTTAGGAGGGGTAGTCAGCTCCCCCTAGGTGCACTGACCAGTCTCCAGGTCCCAGAGGCGCCAGGAGTTGTCGAAGACGGTGGTGGCGAGGAAGCGGCCCGAGGGGTGGAACTCAACGCGCGCCACGCGGCTCGGCCCGTGCCCCTCCAGCGACGCCATTGGACTCTCGCTGAAATATACAAAAAGGGGTCCAGTTTTGGCGCCAGGGGGTCACATAGTCGTGGTCAAGTCAAGACCTTGACAAAATGTAAATATATTATGTCAAGCTTTTAACCAACCAGCTCAGGGGGGGAGTCATGACCCCTATAACCCCCCCTGGATCCGCCGTTGTATAAAAATACCATATTTAAGCGACATTAGTATAAAATTATAGTCTATGTTACTCACAGATAAATTATTTCTTAACGGTATATGAATTTTAAAATTGCCCCAGTAGTTTTTGAGTTATCTTAAATATTTTCTCTGTATAATATTAGACATCGCTGGCGCCCTCTCGTGTCGGAGGCCAAGACCCACTTTTTTTTTTATTACCTAAGGTGGCAAACGAGCAAGCGGCCACCTAAAACCGCCAAAATGGTGAAGCGACCGCTGCCCATAGACATCCGCAATTATAGATGCGTTGCCTACCCTTATACGATGAAGGAGGAGACGCACATAAAGAGGACATTTCCCCTTCCTATGCATCTCCTCCACCGTCAAATCCACTTCCTCTTCCCAACCTCTCCTTATAAGGAAAGGGTGGTAAAGAGAAAGGGACTTAAATTAGGCCTCCAGCACACTCATCAGACGAAACACGGAATTGCTTCCACTTCACGCCTGTCTGTGGTCGTGGTATTGGGGGCGAGCCCTGCAGTGCTAACATGTTAAAGCGGGCACTACCACTTTACGTCGCTGCGCCAACGCAATAAGTAAAATTATACATAGATTATTTTTAAACATATCGGAATATAATTTAAAACGCATATAAACGTACCTAGCAAAGTTCCATAGATGTACACTGCCGTCGTAAGCGCACGACGCCATCGTACATACTTCTGACTTCTCCTCAATATCCGTACAATCTTTACCTTCTTTGGCATTATTTATCTGGAATTAAATTAATAATAAATTTTTATTACTTAAAATCATACACTTGAAGTCTTTCGACTAACATCAGGTAATATTGGGTGATTTATGACATTTTCTTGTAGGCGTGGTACTTAGGTATTTCAACAAAATAGTTGTCTTGATAGTTGGTGTAGTCGCAATCCTCAATATCACAATTCATATTTCCACTAAATAATTATAGATCGTAACGATATGTTTCGATTAAGATATTGAATTGACGTCCACCGAACACATGGTCGCGTACGCACTCCATTGCAACTCAAATTGAACTGACTGGAATGACAATATGGCCGCCATACCAGTGCTCGGTGTTCGCCATGGGCATAGAGTAAGCCTACACACTTATAAGTAGGTATCTAACTAGCTGTTGCTCGCGACTTCGCCCGCGTGAAAAATAATACAAAATATTGCAGATAAATTACTTTTCTAATGGTCAATAAAGAATTTGAAATCAGTCTAGTATTTTGAGTTCAATACATACAAAAATACAAATCTTTCTTTATATTAGTACAGAATAGATTACCTTATTGTGGAAGTGTTGCGGGAGCGCGGCCTGCGGGTGGAAGACGGCGCTGCTGACGTTGCAGGTGTGGCCCTTGAGGGTCTGCAGCGGAGTGCACTCCGGCACTGACCACACCTTTATCAAACCTGACCTGGTTGCAATAGGGATATTCATTCAATATTCACTTTATAAGATAACAAAAAAAAACATACAGACGAATTGAGTACCTCCTTCTTTTGGGAAATCGGTCAAATAAAGAAATAAACCAACCATTTTTTTTACGTAGGGAAATGCCTATGCATATTTAGACTCATTGGGACCTAGTTTTGTTTTATAATATAAGTTAGCAAACGAGCAAGCGGCCACCTGAATCCGCCAAAATGGCGAAGCGACCGCTGCACACCGATATCCGCAATTGCAAATGGGTTGCCTACCCTATCTTATCCGACGGAGGAGGAAACGCACATTAAGAGGATATTTCCCCTTCTTATGCATCTCCTCCACCGTCAAATACACTTCCCCTTCCCATCCTCTCATAAGAAAAGGGTAGTAAAAAGAAAGGGACTTAAATTAGGCCTCTGGCACCACACTCATCAGACGAGACACGGAATTAATTCCATTTGTCCAGTCGGAATATTTCGGACTCGCACCGACTAAAACCCCACAGTGGTATAATAACGCCAATAACGCTAAGAAGGAGGAATGGGATTAACCTAAAGAATAGGAAAGAAGATTCGATTTACATAATCCTTGCCTTACAACGCTCATCGGTTCATATCACGGAATAAATAGAGGAACATCACATTATTCACATCATTCCTATGCATTATTTCATTTTTTGGTTGTTTTGTAACCTTAAACACAGATGGCGTTATAATAAATTTCTTTAATTACACATCTCGAGCATAGATGGCATTGCAATGAGTTTTTTTAATTACATATCTCGACCGTAGATGGCGTTATAATTATTTTTCTTTAGTTCCATATCTCGACCACAGATGGCGTTGTAACTAGTTTCTTTAGTTACACTATTTTAAAAATAGATGGCGCTATAAACATTTGTATTAGTGTCTCAAGATGTTGATCTCAGGAATAGGTGTACTGACCAGCTGGAGGTGATGAGCATCTGGCTGTCATCACTGAATCTGCAGAAACTGATCGGACGACTGTCTCCTATCTGAAATACGAATAATTACGAATATTAAATGAAAAACGCTATGCAGAATGTTTTATTTCAACTGCTTATTCCATTTTTTCCTGAATAAGTTAGACGAATTAAAAATTTAGTAATAACTAGCTGTTGCCCGTGACTTCGTCCGCGTGGTATTAGAAAACATACGGACTATAGAAATAACAAAAAGCTACGAATCCCTCGGGAATTAGAAATTTCTCTGGGATGAAGCTTATCCGAAGTGTACTCCAGACTTTGTTTTATATCTGTGTCAAATTACAATAAGATATGTTGAACCGTTGCATCGCATGCAATGATCGAGTAAACATTAAAAAACCAAATTAATCCCACGGGAACCGTAACTATTACCGGGTTAAAAAGTAGCCTATGTCTTCTATCAGACTATGCTCTAAACCTGTGCCGAATTTCATGGAGATCCGTTCAGCCGTTTAGGCTACAAACGCTAACAAACATCCAAAAATTATATCCTATATCACCAAGTGTAAATGTCCTAATGTTGCAAGAATTATTAAAATCGACCAAGAAGTTGTTGGTCTATATATTTTTAAAAGTCTAGTATAGATTCTCCTCTTTCCAGTACTGACCTGACTGCAGTATATAGACATAGCGGAAGCCTTCCTCTGGGACTCCTGTTTTGCAGCAGCTCGCACGCTGCCTGGTAACTTCAATTCCTCACGAGCCTTCGTTAACCTGGAGAGGTTAACAAGGTTAAATACAGAATATATTTTAGTCCCTTTCCCTTTCCACCCTTTTGTTAGGAGGAAAGGATGTGAAGGAAAAGTGTATTTGACAGTGCAGACCCATAGGAAAGGGAAATGTCCTCTTTATGTGCGTCTCCGTCAATGAAGGGTAGGCAACGCTACAATTGCGGATGTCTATGAGCAGCGGTTGCTATTCATTGCAGTGGTTTCAGGTGGCAAATTACTTATTTGCCACTCTATATTATAAAAAAAATTAATATCAAACTATTGCAAAGATCTTATTAATCTGAAAAGATTTAGGGCCTGTCCCACCACTGGCTGATAGTCCCAGATAGCTTAAAAATGACCTCAATGTCAGATAAAATACAAAAATCGGATATTTCCGTCACATTTATATCTATAACCTGTAATCTATACTGTTATAATAAAGCGTAAACACACATTTTTTGTTGCCTAACATGTCAGCAATCACAGCATATTTTTGAATACTATTTTTTAATAAAAGCCCTACACTTACGTCACGCTTTAGGCTATATATTTTCACATTAAACTTAGCGGTAAATATTTTGGATAAAAACCCTAATGTGGGAAAGAGACCATAAGTTGCTGCCAACATCAAGAAAGAAAGATTGCCAATGTTTGTCATGTCGTATAATTTTGACATTTGCTATTGATAATTTGACAAATGTAAATAAAACAAAATTTACACAATTTAATGCGGATGAAGCCGCACGGGAACAGCTAGTTTAACTTTCATTCTATTATTTTGGTAACACTTACCGTTGTTTAGCTCTAGGCAGAGAATATCTAGCTATCCACAACCTCGCATCCCTCAGTTCCGGAGGACCCTCATGGTACCAGGTCCCTTCTCGTCCTCTATCCCTTTCTATCCTCGCCTCCTCTTCCTCTAACTTTTTATGTATAGCATCTTCACCGAGACTGAAATAGATTAATTTTAACTTGAAAAATAAATTATACTAATATTATAAATGCGTTTGGATGGATGTTTGTTAGAGTTTGTAACACGTAGTATGGAACACAGACTACTTACTTTTGTTTTTTTAATTCCACGCGAGCGGAGTCTCGGGCGAAAGCTAGCTAATAAATAAATTCATATATTTTTTTAACATTTATTTGATTGTTTTTGTTGTTTAGCTAGTACGTTTGCATTTACTGGCCTGTGCCAATTACAGGGATATTCCAATGCCAACTGGCTTGCACAAAGCTAGCCTATATGTTACATATTAACCTATCCCTTACATAGACCCTTGATAACTTAAAGCCTCTATAACTTAAAATTTTTATTTTTTATAATATAAGGTGGCAAACTCGCAAGCGGCCTGAATCCACCGAAATAGAAAGCGACCACTGCCCATAGACATCCGCAATTGCAGCGTTGCCTACCCTTCATTGATGGAGGGGGAGACGCTCATAAAGAGGACATTTACCCTTCCTATGCATCTCTTCCACTGTCAAATCCCCTTTTCCTTCCCATCCTCTCCTCTTAAGGAAAGGGAGGAAAGGGACTAAAATAAGGCATTTTTCATTCATTCAATCATTTCATTCATTTTGTGTTTCATTGGACTTTAACTTATCAAGGTTGTATTTTTTCATTTTTTATGATTAGATTCATAAAGGTTACTTGTCATAGTATAAAGTTTTCAAGTCATTAACTTACTAACTAAGCAGATCCCTTAAACGCACTCTCCTTTCAGCTGGTCCTTCACCGAACAGGCAAACGGGCTCACCTAACTGTCTTAGACTTCTCCGAACCTGTTGGATACAATATTGCTTAGTATTAATCTATATCTATACTATTATAATAAAGCGTAAACACACACTTCTTTGTTGCCTAACATGTCAGCAATTACAACATGTTTTTGTATAATTCTTTCTTTAAGAAAAAGCCCTACACTTGCATCACACTTTAGGCTATACATTTTCCCGCCATTAAACTTAGGGGTAAATATTTTGGATAAAAATCATAATGTGGGAAAGAGACCATAAGTTGCTGCCAACATCAAGGAAGCAAAGATGCCATGGTTTGTCATCGTCATGTCACTTTGACATTTGCAATTATTATTTTGACAAATGTAAACAATATAAAATTTTCATAATTTAACGCTGATGAAGGCGCAAGGGAACAGCTAGTATTACATGATTTATCCCAGTTTTTGTTTATACATTGAATTGTTAAAGAAATACTTGGATAAGATATATGTATGTACCAAAAATGTATTACCCTAATGTTTATTTCTCACTTCTGTTCCACTGGGTCATGAAAATAGTGAAAAGGTAGCCCTTGTATACATTTTATAGTTGATAAGCCAAATTTCAGTGTACCATTTGTAAGGTTAAATCATACTAATATTATACATATGAAAGTTTAGATGGATGTTTGAAGAGTTGTAATCCCAAATGGCTGCACGGATTTTGATAAAATTTGCCATACATAGAGGATAGTCTGGGAGAGCACTAGGCTACTTGCGATTTTTTTTGTTCCGCTCGGATGGAGTCGCAGGCGAAAGCTAGTAAATAAAACCAAACTAAAGGTACTTCTTAATACCTCATCATCATCTGTTGAAACATTCAATTGTCTGGCTTTTCTTCTCCGTTCAAACTCTTCCAGCAGTGCCTTCTTGTCTTTGGACATTTCTTCTTCCAATTCCATATATTCTGAAAGAACAATTTAATGTTATTCTGAAATATTGCAATGTTAGAAATTATTTAAAATGTTCACAAAGCTACTGTGTAAGAGATTTCTGGTTAAAGATAAATTGGTAAATATTAATTTACCTTTTTTTTATGATATAAGGTGGCAAAAAAACAAGCGGCCACTTGAATCCACCAAAATGGTAAGCAACCGCTGCCCATAAATATCCGCAATTATATGCGTTGCCTACCCTTCATTGACGAAGGAGGAGATGCACATAAAGAGTACATTTCCTCCTTCAATGCGTCTCAACTGTCAAATCCATTTTTCCTTCACATCCTCTCCTCTCAAGAAAAGGGTGGAAAGGGACTAAAAATTAGGCCTCCGGCACCACACTCATCAGGCGAAACGAGGAATTTCTTCCACTTCACGCCTGTTTTCTGTGTGGTCGTGGTATTACACCGGTCGAGCCGGCCCATTCGTGCGAAGATGTTAAAGCGGGCTCTACCACTGTTAATTACACCTATATTGGAACTGCTATAAACTTTAAAGAACTTTGAAGAACTACATTATTTACTGTAAAAGACGAAGACTGAAGAAGAAGACTGTCTTACCATTTGAAATTTGAATATCACCAAGTTCTTTGCCCCCATTATCTTCGACACCTTCTCTAACGGCTGCT